GATGTGGGTGATTAAAATTGATGGTGATGATGCGGATGATGTATCGCAGTGTTTCCGCTATCCATGGTGGCTATGATGTCAGTGTCATTAATATTGGTGATGATAATTTTTTTTGATCTTATGAAGGAACGATCGCGCAAAAAAAAGTGTTAAGTTGAACATGAAGATGAAGGTGACGACGTCACTGACAATGAATAAAACACCGATGATGATGACGACGACGATGACGACGACGACGACGATGATGATGTAGATGATGATGTGCAAACGAAATGACTGATAATATTATAATAGCACCAAGCGCAGTTAGCGGAAAATGATAATTTAAAATATGACAATGATGGCAATCACTGCAAGGATGGAGTCGATGAAATTTAAATGACGATGGAAACAGTCAGTGGAAAGAAAGCCCTGTTTGAAGGGAAGATTAATAACTATGCCGATAACGAAGACGATTGTCAGCGAAACGACAAGAAGATGATGTTAATGTTGATGTTGATGCAGGCTATCAAGCCCGATGGTAACAGGGAAACATTTGTAGAGATGAGAGTGAGTATGAATGAAGGATGGAAATAGATGATGGATGAGGATGTTGGTAATTGAGTGATTGATGGATTTCTAACAATGAGGTCACACATCGCTGACGATTCATCGCATCAACTCTGTTATGACATCAATCAATCATTCAAATTTGAATAAACAAAATCTGCTGGTAGGCGATTTCACATTCAAAAATTCAAACAACAATCTTTTGTGTGATAACGTATGCGGCTTACACTGCAATTTAACAAAAACATTTTATATGTTTTACTTACAATAAGGTATATACATTACATACATAAAATCATTTATCAAAACTATTTAATTCATTATAACTTTCTGCAAGATAAGTGTTAAGTCAATCACATTTGGTGAATTTTTCAAATTTTAAACATACTAGTCAACCTTTTAAAAAAAAAATATTTTCAACAAATTTGCATAACCGATCTGAATCGTGTTATCATATTTCAACTCCAAGCTTCCTGGTGCATAGCGTTTGACAAACATTGATTAGAACTAATTGAATAATCGTTTCAAAATTGAAGTTCAAATAAATAAAGTGCTAATCATTTGAGCTGGTTGCTATTTCATAATTGAATAAATTTTTGTTGTTTTGTTTTTATTATTGATAGTTACACACCCACTACTTGAATAAATAGTTTCATTTCTTCGTTTAAACGATGGGTGTGCTTCAGCTGTTCTTCTAAGGAACGGTCGGAACATTATCAAACAAGGTGACTGGGGAACGCATTTTTAATTCTCGATCGCACTGTTAACTTTTCAATAAAATGAATTTTATATACAAGTTTGTCTAGGAAGTGCAAGTATTAACCAACTGTCGAATTTTATCAACTTGTAAGAATTATTCACCTAATTTCAGTGCACTATCGTTATAAAAATTTTTACTCTTTTCGATAACGTGAATAAATTCAAAAATTCTTCCACGATATGGCAACTGTTATTTCATGTAATCAATCACACGCATTCGGGCTTGAATAAACTACACAACACTCAAGCTTAAAATACAAACACACACACATACACACACATTTAGATAGGGGCTCGGGCCGTCCACCGCAAACATGCCCATACACTCACACCTACACACACGAATACACACACAACCACACGCACAAATACATACACGCAAATATGTTTCTATGTGTAAAATAAAATCGTGCAGTTGGCAATAAATCTACTCACAAAATATTTTTCATTAGTTTATTCAAGCCAAAACTCGGTGCATTTCAATAAAGAATAAAAGAAAAATTTCTTCAAAACTGATCGTCAACTTCGAAAAATTTTCCATAAATTAAAAACTTTTAGGTATTAAATGGATGATAATACATAAAGGCTACATAAAATGAGAAATATCTGAAGAAATTATTTGGAAGACCACATGATGTGCACTGATCGCGCTTATCAAGCAGTAGATGGAACGGGTTTCTTTTTATTTATCTTTCCAGTTCGTTTCAATTTAGCAAGCAGAATGTGTGTGAATGATTTATCGCCGCATGCAAGCTCGCTGGTTGAACATTCGTAGTTCTGTCGATGATACATGCAACTTATCTACTTCGTTCCTACTTATTATGAATTGTCATCTTGGAAACAATACCACATTCCCATTCCTAAAACCCAACTTAATTGTACAATTAATTTTTTTCGAATTGTTTAATCTAAATAAAGAATTCAACAATTAAAAAAAATGATGCTTGAATTATTTTATTATCATCAAGTGCTACCTAAAGAAGAACAATTAAATTGTGAAATTACTCGCCGAAATAAAATAAAACAACAACCTGGTAACACGTCAAGAAGAGAATGAAATGTTATGATTCATCTAAATATTAATATAATATAAACAATGATATGCGTACTAACACATCTATTTATATATTCATTAATGAACATTCTAAACGCCTAAGAAGTATTAACATAAACATTACGAACGACTTGAACACTAATATAAACAATCAGGTTGGAAAAACACATTACCAGCCATTACAGCGCAACAACAAACCCGAAGAAAAAGAGGAGCAGGGATAAGCATCGTCTCCTCCATAATCAGATAAACAGGTTTATCTGTTAGAAGTCTATCTGATGCAATAAAACACATAGGGAAGAGTTTTCAAAGCTTTTTCGTTAAGAATAAGCTTAAATTAGAGACCTTTAAAAAAACAAACATCAACTACCCATCTACGTGAAAACCTGAGCATGTGTGATCACAACCACTAAAAGCAACAATGCACACACACACAACACACATAATTAACGGAAATCATACAACTATAACAAATGTAAGCGACGTGCGCACACACACATACACACACACATACACACACACACACACAAACATACCAGATTTTTCATAAACACTCACGAACAAACGCCACAATACAAACAACCTAGCATGCAGAAGGAAAAAAGCGTAAACACGGTACACACGCACACACACACACCACACACACACACACACACGTATACAACAATTGCATGCGCCCACGATGAAGACCGCAAGAAACATTAGAACAAATAATTTTGAAATGAGATTCATTACGGCAGCCCAACAACATACAACAACATCACACCTAGGTAGTAGAGCCCTGCGCAAAAACCGCACGGCAACTGCGGTTTTTTGCGGTTGCGGTGCTTAAATCATGCGGTATTACGCGGTTGCGGTTTTGAAATGTGCGGTTTTTCCGCGGCGCGGTTTTTTTTATCAAAACCGCGGTGACCGCAAAAATTTTGTTAAATATTTTTGTTCGTCCATAACATTTTAAAAATTGCATTATCATTGTAATAATTTTTATATAAGTATCTTTGAAAAATCTTAATATCGTTGGAAGCCGTTGAAGCAACCATTTTCTTTTTCGTGTTTACTTTGAAAGAAGTAGTTATTTTAATTACGGCGTGGTTAATTATCGATTATTTTATAAAAATGTCCGAGGTAAAAAATGTTGAAGTTGATCCACGGGTAGATGTAATTGATAAAGAATTTTTGATTAAAAGTAACAGTGATTTGGATGTAGATAGTTGTGATTTATAATGCCAATAAAAGCATTAATGTTGTTTTTCATTTCTTGCGGTGCGGTTTTCGGTGCTGCGGTTGCGGTGCGGTTTTCGGCGCTGCGGTTTCAAATGTTGCGGTTTTGTGCGGTTGCGGTTTTTGAAAATTCCAACCGCGCAGGGCTCTACTAGGTAGCACGCAAGAAAACTTTCACATATTGCTTATTCAATTTTCAAGTTACAGCAACATTTATTATGCTCTAGTTAGCAATCGTCATTTTTTAAAATATTTTTGTCTATATAAACAAACAAATAAATAAACAAAAAATAAAAAAAAAATAAATTTTCCTAAAACATCAAACTAATTAAGCGATAATTGCACGATATCAAGCCAAAGAGAAGTTCACTAAAAGAGAATAAGCGGGTGGTAATGTCCTTGAGAGTTACCGTGGTTCTTCAGTTATCATCTTCTTTCAGCAGCTTTTCAATTAGAGCCGTTAACATCACATTTATTAAATTAATGACTGCGTGTACTACCATGTACCGAGTTCGATCACAGCAGTCGTTGCCATTCTTACACCAACAACAGTGATGTCATCCTTCATTACTTTTAATTACATATTATCGCCCATATATCATTTTCTCCGAAATCCCTCATTATAGAAAATAATAATAATAATTTGTATATCAATACGAAATTACATTAACAAATAAGATGGATGATTGAGTTTGATTGTTTTTGTTGGCTAGCTGGCACAGCACATCGTAGGTTGTTCTTATTATACACTCCCGATACGCTGCAAATAAAACTTCGTGTACCTAGCATCAATCCGTCCTTATGCTAAAGCCACTAACAGAACAACCATTTCTTTATGATAATGGAAGCTAACCATGACCTGTTGACGGTATATCTCCATGAGAGGAATGAACGATTTAAAGATTCCAAAACAGAGTGGATCATTATTTTTCATCCATCCACCGACAGCCGCATGCTCTTTCCATATATTTCATAACATTGCCTAGCAGAGAATAACCTCTAGAATGCTTACTAACCAGATGAGTCCCGAATTTGACAAGTACCACCATTCGACCCAGTGACATGTGTCACGGCGCATACAAGTTCGAATATACAACAAATTATATTTAAATGTCCAACCAATGAAAAATGAGTAGTAGTCACGTGAATAAACCGGTTAACACTTCGAATAACATATTAACAAATACTACATTATATAAACTGTACAAATAATAAATATATGTTAAATACCTGACGTAACAAAAGACAACATTGTATATACTATGTATATAGAATATGTGGATCAGATATGATGATAGCTAACAAGAAATGAAGTTAAAATATTGCATCCATCCAACCAGTCTGCAACACAAACACCCACGCGCACTAAACTATACGCACACACACACACACAAGCACACGCACGCACACACAGAGCTCAGTTGCCTGTGAACTTCTCAGGAATGATGTAAGATATGTCATCCCAAGGGTGACGGTACAGTCCTTGCTTCAATCTCTTTTGATCCAAGAAGTGGCCTGGTTTGTGTTTTTCAACAATTTATTCAAGTTTCATCAATCAATTTAATTTCGTAGTTTCATAAGGCGTATGTTTCATAAACAGTTACTAGCTGCAGATGATGAATGAAAGCTGGTAACAAAAAATAAAAGTGCCAATATAACCAATAAATCCAATGCTTCTGCCTAAGACGAAGAGACCATTCAGGGCTCCTATCTCAATGTATTCACAGGCTTCCTCACTGTTTGGGCCAAAAGTTGATGGTGATGGGTTGTTGATGTATTGTGTGCGTTGTTCATGGGTTTGTGTTGTTTTTGTTGTGTTGTTATCCTTGTAGCTGTCGTAATGTTATAATGTAGCTTAAATGGTTGTTGTTTTACGTTTTTGCGAGATGGCATTTTATATTTTGAAACTGTGGTTACCATGAATATTCACCAGAAGCAGGTTTTACACGACATTGTGGAATTAACAAAATTTTTGAACACAGTTAAACAACACGGTTCGTGCATGTGTCAATAAGCTCCACAACATCAAAAACAATCTAAACTAAACGCCAAATTTTCTACAATTTTTACACTTATATTAAAACATAAAATAAATTGTATAAAAATAATCTGACTATGTGAAACACCCTGAAGATCTGAGCAGGTCGACCATGGCCACTCCAATCAGCCCATCAACGTTTAGAATCAAGTTGGGCTTCTATGTTGTTCAATTAGCGTTAATATGACAAACATTAAAGAAACATTAATTCGAGAAACATAGGAGGTCATATGAAGGGACGATCAATGATGATTATCTAAATGAGATGAGCTCTTTGTGGCAAACACAAACAAATTACATCGTACTATTACACCACGTCAATTGCATAACATAATTTAAAATGATTTGAAAAACAATGAAATCACGCGACATAAACAAGCTGACCTTTGACGTGGTGACCTTTTCAACTTCCAGTGCATAATCAAGGAGTGGGGTTGCCGGGAAATGTTCCTTCACAAAGTTCTTCAAGATGACAACTCTCATGTCAGGATTGTTGATCTGATGTTGTATTTATTCAAGAGTTTGTTTCAATGCTAATGACAATGTTAATGTACAATACATCCATGCACAATGACACTGGAACGAGCGTGTTCCATATTATAGAAACAAAGAATGGTATAGACGGACGACTCACAGACTTCACTCTATGCCCTATGCCCATGATAAGCTTGCCTTGTTTCTTCATATGGTTGACAAACTCCATTGGACTCAAACCTGTATCGAACCCTTCTGAAAATTCCTTAGCCGCTCCATCCAGTGCACCTCCAAATCTATCTCCCTGGTGGAATCAGTGTCGTCATCATCATGACCATCTTCACTACACTTTTTTTCGAACCATTAATTTTCAGAGGCATAAAACAATATTAAAAATCTCACAAAGTTATTGAATCATATTTTTAAAAATAATTTTTATAAAAAAAAATTTTTCAAAGATAAATTTATAAATTCACTAACAATGGTAAGGAGTCCAGACGCCAATGAAGAGACGAGATCCTTTCCAGCCCTGGCACAAACAATGGTGTTGTGAGCACCAGACACTGCAGGCCCATGATCAGCAGTCACCATCAAACACATCTCGATGAACTTCAGCGCATATTTCGGTAATCTGGTGAACAAACAAGTTGACTGGAAAACAGAAAAACAGGTAGACTTATGAAATTTAACGTCCAAACAGTTGACTAATGAAAACATTGTCATGTTAGCAAATAGTATAATTGAAGCATTCAAAAAATTTTACAAACGAAGCTTTATGAAACATCAACCTTTTCTGAAACCACAAAAGGGACAGAACACCTCCGATTCCCAGATTCTCCTTAAAAACTTCAGTGATGGGCACTCCAGCGTACAGCAACTCCTGCCCTCTCTCATCGCAGATACTCGTCATAAAAGAAGCAGGTTTCCTGATGAGACCAAGTTCCCGTGCCCAGTTGTAGTCCATGGGAACTGTGGGAGGAACAACTTCCGGTGCAGGAACGAGCACTCCTGACTTCACGAGACCATCGTACACTGACCTGTTTAATGAATTTCACACGAAGTTATTTTTGAAATGTAAACCATCGATGGAAACAATTGAATAAAACAAATAAAAACTAGACAAACTTGATGATCTTATCCAAGTCGTCAAAGGAGGAAGGTACATACACGCCCGCCTGCTTGAGAGCTTCATTCTTTGATTCTGCTGTCTCTTTCTCCAGCGTAGCACACGACCCGGCATGTCCAAACTGCACCTGATGGCAGTGACCAAAAATTCACGAAAATTTAGAAACTATATTAAAAAAATTAATATTATGACCAAAGTTTTTTATGAAACGTGATTGGATGAAGATCCAACAAAGCGATTACTAAATATTCTTCATACACATCTTCTAACCTCAGATGTGAACATGCTTGCGCAAGTACCAATGCACCAAGCCACAATGGGTTTTTGGACCTTGCCACTTTTTATGGCGTCGATGATTCTGTACTCCTCTGTCCCACCAACCTGAACAAAATTTAAGTTTATTCTTTCTTGCTGTAAAACAATAACGCAACGACAATATTTTAGATATTTGATTAACGAAATATCGTTTCTGATTAGATGAAAAATATTTGGTTAAAAACGATATTTATTATTAGAGGCAAAATAAAGCAACTGATCTACAATGAGCTAGGATAGACAACAATGGGTCACTATATTTTCGACGCATTGAAATTAAATGAGTAGAACAATAAATAATGAAACGAATCAGACAAATGAGGAAAAGCCAACCTCTCCTAAGACGACAATCATCTTAACATCAGGGTTGTCCTCATATCTCAGGACGTGGTCTAAAAATGTTGTACCCGGGTAACTGTAGGATGTTTGTAATATTAGATCACTCAATAACACATTATTTCAAACATGCAAAACATTAATATTTAAGCATTAATTATATTGCATCATAAGTGTACTAAGAATGAAATTAATGATGAAATTAGATGAAATTAATTTAATTAAAAAAATCAACATTATTTCACTGAATGTGAGTGCTTATCAAATTTAATTTAATTCAAAATAATTGAAAGTTCAAATATTTGACAAGCAAATTTCCAAAAATGAAGTAACAAAATAACAGAAACAATAAAGTTGGAACATCAAACAGGACGGAGAATAAAAAAGTGCCAACCGATCTCCACCAATGGCAACCCCCTCGTAGACTCCATCAGTGTTGAGAGCAATGATATTGTTCAATTCATTGGACATGCCTCCTGACCGAGATACATATGCAACACTGTCCAGTAATATAAGTTATAGTGTAAATGCTATCTTAAACGAAGTGTTCGTGATCAGGCAAAATTATAATCGGCGGTTTAACGAAACTTCAATAAGGTTATAGATGTATCTATCAATCAAGCATTACTTATTCGAATATTTTAGTGGAAACAATACAAAATAAAAGAAACCTTCCACTCCTGAAGAGTTTGGATGAGAGAATGTTATCCAGCATACCACCGGTGTTTCCAATCTTGAAACAGCCCGGCTTGATGCCTCCAACCTACAAATGATTGACGCTATCGAAACATTTGTTGCAAATAAAAGTTCTCATAAAAATAATTTTAAAAAATAGAATATAAAAATGATGAGGTCCGTAAAATAAACCCATCAGAGCATACAACCCTCCCATCAAACTATTACACAAAAATTATTTTAATAAAAAAATTTAGAACAAACAGTGGCGGGTCCAATGATTTGAACATTCTTCTCCTTGGCCATCTCAATCAACTTTCTTGTCAAATTTTCTGGAATTCCTTCAGCAATGATGGCAATGCAACGAATCTGAAGATAACAAAATAATTGAAATTGAAGGTCAAATTAAAGGAACAAAAAACTAAATTATTTTGTTAAAATATTAATCCTTGCAAAAACAAAATTAAAGTGCCATATATAAAATTTCTCATTAAACTATTTAACGTCGATAGCTAGCTGATACCATCAATATAACAACACTCCAGCCCAAAATTTCTAAGTGCTTCAGTACTTGAGGACTATTTGAAATTAGATAGAAAACCTCCTTAAATGTTTCATCAAGCCAAGCATCATTAACAGCCAGCAGACTATCTACTTTGCTAAGAATAAAAAACAGTTGAAAGAAAAGGCGTATCATGAGGTTCGAACTTGTTCAAACTGCATCATCTCCACGGTGCTCTCGTAAGCTGATCTGAGTGACGCAAAGTTCACCAGGATATCAGCATCTGGATGATTCTTCACGACTTCTTCAGCTTTCTTGTACACTTTATATTAAAACAACAATTTTTTTATTAATCAAGAAGATAATGTAAATGGATAATGCCTCTTATCAAAATATCTACACAAAAGTGTTCATTAGCAATTATCCATAAAACCTGGTATGAGTATTTCGGTGTGTCCCCAATAAAATTTCTGCTTGTGGTTTCCACTATGAAAATTATAAAAAATATTATGCATCGTTTCATGAAAATTTTAACAAAAGGTTTCCTTACTATAAAGAAAAATGTTTGATGGAAAGAATAAAGTGAAGAGAAACAAATGAACAAACACGAGAGGATAGAGTATGGCAACCACAGATGGAGTCTTCCTTGAACACACATAATCAAAATCCAACATTCCCTGTATGGCCCGGTTCTGCATGCCCCAAACAATGGCTTTCGTCTTCGCTGAGAACAGTGGTCTTTCACAAGATCCATATGCTAGTGAAAACATTTTTATTATTTCACATATTATAGATAATCTTATAAAAAATATAAATGATTGTTTTATTTACGCCTTCTATTGAATCAAAATGTTAAAGAAAATTAGAAGCCAACCAACCGTATTTAAAATTTGTGTAAGAACAAGAACACAATGACGTGGAATCTTCTATGCTGCTTGGTTCATTTGCAGAGGATATAGATCCTGATGATGACTTTGAATCATGGGCCTGTTTGTGCAACAACAAAGCCTCTTCATAGAAAATTAAAAATCTTTAGAAAGCATCATCCATACTACTCATAGATAAGAACTTACATTATTGGTTGGCAGGAGAAACTTGGCAGTAGTCTTCTGAAGTTTGGCAGGGGCAGAAATGTTAATTTTCCCCAGTGCCATGCCCACGATTGCTGTCATGTGAGTTTCAGGACCAAAGACGTGGATCGGCACACCAAGAGTGCTGCCTGATAGCATTATTAACAACAAAAACATGTGACCATTAAAAATTTATATCTTAATAAATTTATCACTTTCACTTTAACTTTAGCATACAGAATCTGCACCATAATTCATCAAAAAGTAAGAATTCTAAATATGAATTTTGAACAAAACTATTTGAAAAAAAATTACACGAATGTCATTAAACATAATATGTCCAAAAAAGCTGAAATCACGAAAATTGTGTTTGTGTTCAGTATACAAGAAACATTCTGATTAAGAACTTTCATCTTTGAATTAAGAGCAGTTACTGTAAAACTCTATTTTTTGAACAGATTCATGAAATCATTAAATGCACACCAACCTAATTCCCTCATGATTCGAAGACCTTCCTGGTAGTTTGGACCTGCTCTCCTCACAAATATTGATGCTCTACATGCTATTAACTTCATCTGGTAGTCTCTCAGAGCTCTAACTATACCCTAGCGAGATGTATGGTATTAGGGTGATCATGCATTCTATGTGAAAATTTCTGCTTAATATGCAAATTATTTTTTTAATAAAATCTGAAGATATATATCTACTTTGAATGTGGACGCCACATTGGTGAAGTTGGCAATGCCTCCTCCTATGATCAATATCTTGTCAGGATCTTAATAAAATTACAAGTTTTCTGATTATTTTTGATGATAAAATATTGAAAAATATTAATCTAAAAAAATCAAACTAACTAATGTGTCTGAAGTTTAATAATGAAAATGTACAACACAATAAAACTCTGTCTCTAAAAAACTCCTAATTACAAACTTTCTGGCTTGGGGTCCCTGCACATGAGCTGGAGTATCGTCTTGGCATAATCATATGTCTGCTGCTCAGTCGGAGCTCCAGAGTACTCTCCATAGTTAGCAAGTTCTTTGGCCCCGCCCATCTCACAGATCGTATCTCTGCAAGCAAAATTAGAAAAACACAATTACATTTTATTCAGTACAAAATTGAATCACGACTAATTTTTCAAAACAAAAATTTAAAAAACATATTTCTGGGATTTGTGAGGGTTGTTCTGACAATAAATTTCTAATATAACTTAAGAATATATAAACAATTATTTATATTTAAGAACGATTGATAATTAGCCCCACAAAGCAGTGAGTATAGAATGAATTGTGAATGTGTAAAACGTTGCCTACGCATAAATGACAGATGCTCCACCACCAGCTACCATGCACCATATCTTGCCGTGTGGGTTCAATATGGTCAGTTTCAACGATGCACCACTTTTTGCATCCAGGTCAGCAATGTAAGCTTCCTGAATGGCATTCAAATTTTTTTTATTTTATTGTTTGATTAAAACTGATTTAAAAATATAATTAATAATAAGAAAATTAAAAGAATCATTAATTTAAATGAAATGAACATAAAAACTATAGTGTCCAACTAGCAGTATAACAATTTAGAGAGAGGCTATTGAGTTTAATGACTTTGTAAACAAACAAACCATTAAAACAGTTGCAAAGCTGCATATTCATTTTATGGCATGTTGATAACATATACATATTCATTTAAACAATAATTTAATTCCCAATTTCCAACAAAATATTCTATATGAAGTAAAATTGGAAGAACAGCACAATTGGAAGCACAGACCTCAGGGTAAGCTTCCCTACCAAACGGCGGAGGGAACTGAACCTCACCCCACAATCTGTTGCAAAGATAATCAGCACACTGATCCAACTTGGCTGCCAGGTCCAACACGTACACCTTCTCTTGCTTTACCACTGTATTTTATATTATAAAGAATGCAAAACAATGCTGTACCTTTATCTCATTTTCATCATTTCATCTCCTCCATCAACACCATTATACTTTACCTAGTGGATTTATTTCCAAATAAGTGAAGTGCAGATCCACGTACAGTTTGTACAAACATCTGATGAATTCTATTAAAGAGCTGTAATTTAAACAATATAATGAAATGAAATCTACATCATAATGACCAACAATGAAATTTTTGAACAACATGTTGATCATCTGGAAAAACCCTAGTTACGCTTCTAATAAAATTGAGAATAACATTAAAGGTTCTTCCAGGTTAAAACAATGCTCTAAAGTATGAACAAACAGCATGAACTTTATTAAATCAACAACGGCTCCAAATTATTAATCTGGTCAAAGTTTCTAATAGAAATAACATCTCTTGTTGTTTTAATTTAATTGCATTACATTAATTGGTAATGCATATTATGACACTTTCAGACAACATTATATGTGAAAAAAATAATGTAAAAATTATCAAATGCAATGCAAAAACTTCACACAAACTTTCTGTTTTGTGGTTGTGCATTGACAAGAAGAATATTTGAGACATCTTCATCTTTCAAATCACGATTTATTGGGATTTTCAATTTTAGGGCCTTATTGAGAAAATTATAACAATTTAAAATTCAAAATTATTCAAATTAAAACTAAAATTTAGGGCAAACCTTAGCATCCACATCACCAACATCTACACCTCCTTCATGGTGAAACAAAATTACATCATTTTCCCTTGCAGAGTATATGCACAAATAATATTCTTCCTTCTACAAAATATTAAAAAATTATTTAATTTAATTTAAATTTAATTTTTAAATAAAAACCTTCATGAAGCTTAATCATAACATAATCATTTGCAATAGAGTTCAAGCAAGAAAATTGTTTGCTAAGTTTAGCAAAATGAACTTATTCATAATCTATATCTAACAAACATCCTCTGATTTCCAGTATTTAACAAAACAAATTATACATTATAATTTAAATCACTTAATACAATTTTTAAACAGTCAAAATAAATACTTGGCTATGAGGTATAAATGGTTCGATGATGAATCTCTTAAGCTTACCAGTAGCAGCTCCAACCTAGGTTTTTAAATGGATTTTATCGGTACTTGATGATCTAAATGAAATGATTCCATATATTTTGTTGTAACACTTGAACGCTCGTTACTACCAACATAAATGTTATAACTTCAAAGATCCGTATATTTGCAACAACAGTGTTGTAACTTCAAACGATCATCAAATTTTTATTATTCCATAGGTTCAAGATTTCCAATTGAAGAACACAACTGCTTCAAACGCAAACTTGGTTGAATGCCAACAGTAATAGAAACACTAAACTTTTCCAAGTAACTGCATAAATCACATTTAAAACTTCACTTCAAACCTCCCTACCCACTTTGCTATTCGAGACACCTTATATAGCAACACCTATAGATTGTTACAATCTTCTATAGTATGAAAAGATTCTATGGTTTTAAAATCGATGACAAATATATCAAGATAACAATAATTAATTATATAGCATAATTCCATCATTCGAAATTTTACCAACCATTACAACTTTGTTCATGTGGCTATCAATCCATTTTTTAACTTCTTTATGATCAACATCAACTTTGATTAAACCCAGTTTGCCTCTTCTTTTTATCAATTGGTCTGGTTTCACTACTAATTTCTGTAATTGTTTATCAACAGTTTCAACACAAAATAGACAAAATTTAACAAGTTTAATTTTTAGAAACAATACAAATAAAATTCAATGTCTGAGCATATAATCGGCAAAATAAAATTAATAACAAAAATAGATGTGTATGAAATCTCCAAAAACCAAAAAGTCATAAATGGTTGATTAATTTTAAAGCCATCAAACTGTGCTAAAAGTTAAAGCTTTTGGCAACAAATGAAGATTTCAAATTAAAAATAATGCTACAGATAAGCTATAAATAACACTTTATCAAACAAGTTAACCACTTTTTTATTGACCATGTTGTCATTTTTATTAAAAATTTTTTGCTGAAATAGATTTTCAGTAAAATACTAATACTAATCTACTCAAATGTGATTTTATTTTACAATTTTCAATATTGTGAACCAGTTTCATTTATCAATGACTCTTAATTTAAGTTACCTTAAAACACTTTTATTTAGAATTTCTTAATAAAGCTACTCATTTTATCTTCCATAACTGATAACAGAACAAATATTAAATTTTAAAAACCAATTAAAAAAATTTACACAAAATGTAGGCCAGGAGCAACATGTTTCAACAAGTTATTAAATTATTATATAAATTAATGTTTTTTTTATGATTTATTGTCTACAAGGTGAATTTCCCTTTCCTAACATTAAAAAAATGTCAAAACGTTTCTCACTGATGTTTTAAGCCATGGATTACTTTGAAGCAAATTATCCCAAGAAGTTGATGAATCGTACACTGCGCTATTCAAGGAGACATCCAGGCCATTATTAACTTTCAAATTGTTCCTCATTATTTGCTTTCCACATGATTCATAGATTGCTTTGGCAGACATTTTGTTTAAGTTTATGTGAATTCACCTGGATGGCACAACTTGTGATTATAATAATGAGATTATAAATTAATTATTGCAGCAAAATAAAGTTCAAACGAGAAATGCCAAACTTTCTGACTGCTCAAGGTAATGAAGATTAATTAAATAAATTAAATGTAATGAGCTACACAAGGAAGTCCACACGCATGTATCTTCTGAAGTAATTTATTATAAATTATTTCACGATAATGTTTAAAAAGAGATGACCGTAACAACCGTTCACACGGTTTATGAACCGAGAACGGTCGAGTTATTCAATTTTTAAAAAAAGCTTTTTCCACTTTTTTAAACACAAAAAACAAACAAATCCTCTTGACAATAAAAGCACGGTCGTATATAAACTGTTTTAAGTGGAAAAAACTTTACTCACTCCTTCAATATTATTTGAATGGTCGGATGATCCTTCTCTATCCTGCAATTTTACTGAACCAACTACGAGTGCATGCAGAATCATTTTAGAACTGACTTAAAATAGAAAACATTTTATATCAAATGTGCTCTGAAGGAAAAAACGTATATTAACATTACAAAATTTAATATTACCAACTATATTACCAACTATCCAAGTTACTGATATTAGTTTCAAAATTGTTGAAAAAAAAACATTTATGACGATATGAAATGAACATTATACTCCGCCATAACTAATGTGCTGTAGTTTGTGACATACAAAGATTGCTTTCGAAATAGCTCCTTTCAAAGCAATCATCAATACCTACATACACTATTTTTCACATGCCAGAACTTTTTTGTTAGCAAAAACCATTCTATATAGTTGATTTAAACTGCAACACATAATACATTATTAAGTTGAATAATTCATTATTATTAACGTTCAAGTAAATTTACGTGTTCGGGGTTTATGAAACTTATATGATTTTAATTTTAATTCCATAAAAATATTATATTAATGAAATAATGAGCGTTGCTAACTTGAAAACTTAAATTTTTTATTTTTTGAAAGTCGAGATTTAAAGCTGAAGATAATCCTTTTAAATTCAATACCATTCATTTATTCTTTTTTTTTGTAAATATTTATAGAATGAAAAGTCCGGATGTAACCGAAATGATAAAGCATTACATCCAGCTGAATTAAATTGAAAATGGAAATCAGTTTGCAATCACTAATTTTTAGATGTGATCTGTCCATGATTTGAACATTTTGATGATTGGAGCGAACGATTAATCATCATCAACAATCTGATGCTACCATTTAATGAGCCGTGCACACAACTTTTACAGCTTTTTATAAAATCCTTCATGTCCACGCGTCTTTTATCCTGTATTTTGAATTTAATAATAAAAAATACAAAATATCATGAATGCGCAACGTTTTATATTCTGTTATTTTCAATTAAGTTTTATTTGTTTTTTATTATTCAGTTAAAATTTCCAAATAAAACTAGATTTTGCTATAAAAACTTCAACCGCATATTTTATTGGGAGTATTTATTGGGAGCATATTTTATTTTATTAGCTGGATTTTTGTATGTTGAAGCTATCGTGCTAGCTGAAACACTGCACTGATCTGGCAGCGAAAGTGGTTACGATATAATTGGGAGGTTAATACATTTTCTTAAAGTCAAGCAAAAACAATTACCTTTTCCAGAGTGTCGGAGTTGGATATTTTTCATCTGACTCCGGCATACTGACTTTTCTATAGATAGAAATTCGAGGAAATCAAAGTTTTTCATATACATAAAATTTTTCAAACGTTTGATTTTTGTTACATATCAAGATATTTTAAAATTCAAACAGAGTCCTTACGTATCAAATTTTTACAGTTTCACGTACATTGACTAAAATGTTCTAACTAGCTGGAATCTGGAAGACATAAAATATCGAATGTCAGTTTAAAACTTGAATAATTTGCTTTATTTAAAAAAACTGCTAATGAGTTAGGGTATCGGTGAACCTTGTCGAATGTCTTCTCTGTTTGGTTTGAAACAGTTTTATTCAGCATTGAACTATATGTAAAAAGTTATTATAACAGAATTCACATGTCGACAAAAAACAAAAAGATAAAACTTGCCAACGTATGAAGAATTTAGCAACGTATGGAGAAGAAGCAACGCTGAAATAAGAGTGATGAAGACAATGTTGGAAAAAGAGAGAGAGAGAGAGAGAGAGAGAGAGAGAGAGAGAGAGAGAATAATACATCAAGATACATGATATTGGTGCTGCAACGAAAGTTTTTTTCTCTGAAGAAGAAAACATAAATCAACCACAACTCGGAGTTTACAAACAAATCAAACGTTGACACTTTGCTGAACTTTAAACGTGAATAATTAATTTTTCTGACTGCTCATGGCCAGTAGAATTTAAAGTTCTCATAAATAATTTTTTCCAAGAAAACAAAATGCATAAGAATAAACCTTCAATATTGATACAAAGAACTCGTCATAATAATTAGAGAAAAAGCTGAAACGAAAGCTTTTAATTATCATCATCATCCGCTAGCAGGAAGATTATCCCCCAAGCGCTGCAACAACCTGCATTCAATATCAAATTATCATTTATCCTCCTTCCTCCTCCTTCCATAGTGGGTGCATCTTTTGAAATAATAATTATAAAAATATTATTATATATATAATAAATATTATATATATATATATACATGTGTGTGTTGTGTGTGCAACGTGTTTGCGTGTGTGTTTAGAGAAAGAGAGTGAAAGAGAGAGAGAGAGAGAGAGAGAGAAAGGGAGGGAGAGAGAGAGATACAAGAGAATAAAAAGTTTTGTTTATTTTATTATTATTATTGTAGTTTATAGTATAAAATGCAGTCATTTATATAATTTTTAATTCATAATATAACATAAACCATAATATAAAAGTTATGAGCAGTTATGAGCACAGGTAACTAAACTTACACAAAAGCCCATGTCTACATGTTTCACTACTTCAATACAACTCTAATCACCAATAAATCAACAAAAAAATCAAAAAAATATAAAACTCTGTTTAGTACAAAAAGTTATTAGAAATAAATAAATGTGCAAACAAAGTATAACTAAAACATATAAGTTTAGATCCAAAACATTTAGATGTTTTCTTTCTTTCCAGGCAGGGAATGGCTTCCCATCACTGGATTGTTACCATCCATTTCCATCCTCTGATGCCGCCAAACTCCGGCCTGGAAAGCTTCACTGATGATCAAATCTGAAAATTTACTGTCAACACAAAAGCAAAAAAAGTAAGCGATTGATTCTTTTAGTTTTCACACTAGAATTTAAAAACAAAATAAGGACAAACAGGATACCGTCTCATCACAATTATTGACCATGCTTATTTTGTTTGCCGATATCTAAGAATCTCATTTGATGAAATGAGCCAACGACAACTTTTGAACGTGCATCATTTTCAGTGGTGAGTTATTTTTCTTTCAAACGCGTTTGACGCAGAACAACATCGATAAAATCATCTGTCTCTAATTGTTAGTTTTTGGTGTTTTTTAAACTAAAATATTTCGATTGAACCAATTTTAATGGAATTTAAAAAATTAAACGCTGGACAAACATCGATGCAGATGTATATTAGAACAGCCGAGTATTGCCTTGTTACTGCTTCGTGAAATGAGTGGTGCATTCTATTTCTCTATTTAGCTACAAGTTATTTTCAGCTTTGTAATGTTGTCGTGTTTTTAAAATTTTCAACATAGTAAATTTTTAACTACAGCTTAAATATACACGCATGAATTTGTATATATGAATAATTCTATTGCGTGATAACTGCACTTGGATATATTAAATTGAGGCATATTATTAACATCTGATTTAATTAAATTTTCCCAGCAATGGTGCATCTCATCATAAAAACGAAATAAACAGCGTGACGGAAACAGCTCGGCAACAACAGATGATGCAGCAGCAGCAGCAGAGTTCGCGTGTCATCCAAATGAAACAAAGCCACCGTGTGTTCGCAACGCATGCACGCAGAAAATATCGCTTTGTTGCTGGAGGTAGCAAACGTATTCTGAACTGTTTGTTGAGTGAATCAAAAAAATTTACTTAATGTTATGTGTTAAAAATATGTTAATATTCTTTGGAATAGGAAAATGTTTTTTTCACATTATAATTTAAACCTTGAAAAAATTACCCAATCTATTTAAGAAAGATTAAAAATTAAAAAATCTTTGATTTTGCAGCATTAATAAGAAGGTTGAGATGGCAGTTAATTGATGGCGCCACACTTGTGTATGGGAACTTGGAAGGAAAATTAAGAGACATGATTTAGTGCATGAAAAGAAATCATTGATAAGACGAACAACATTTAACAACTGCAAATCAGAAAAACTCTGTACTTTAAAAATTGTTAACACTCGCTTAACAAACGAAATGATACTTCGTTCATTTTTATTGCTCTAACATTTTTACTGACCACTAATTCTTAATAAAGAAAAAAACTTTAAAAAGATACATAAATACATTAAAAAATAAATATGTTTTTGTCAATTTTTTAAAAAACTAATCTAATAAAATAATAAATTAAGTACTATTTTAAAAATCAAGTGATATTCAAAAAAAAATAGTTTCAGCAAGGTTTTTTATTAGTTTTCAAAGGAGTTTATATATTTTTTTGAATTTCTCTAAAGTTTAAATGAAAGTTTAAATGATACAACTGAATTATTTTAGATGACGTAATTTAATTTTAACAACGCCCAATGGGATAAATTAAAGATACTTAGTATTTAAATGTAAAGATAATAGACTAATTAACTATGTAAATGTGGAAATTAATTGGTCAGTGCTAGTCAAAATGCAATTAATTTGAATAATTGAGCAGATGTCCAGCCGAATGCATTCTTAAGCACTGTTTATTAATTTTAATAATATGCGAAACACGTGCGCGCATGTATAATTACATAGAACATAAACTGAGCATTCGTTACTAGCATAGATCTCTAATTGCATGCTAATTGCTTCCAGAATCCTGATTGCTTTTTCATTTCCCGCGTAAAACTC